TCACTTTCTTTCGGCCCTAGGAAGGAGGCAATGGCAAACCACTTCTGAAAAACCTTGCCAAGAAAACTGCAGGGACTTGTCTGAGCAGTCTCCAAGAATCAGATGCGATTGAACGCATTAAAAAAAAATTCAGTTATTTTAAGATGAAAGTGGTTTCGTATTTCATCCTTCATAACCTGTTTATAATCATGTAGATTCCAACTTCTCATCCTAGATAAGTTTTAGTTGCAACTAGGTATAAAGTTGTGGTTAGTATTAATTACATTTTCTCTTAAGCACCATTTGCTAATTAGCATTTAAATCCTGATCCTCTGATAAACACTGGTTTACATAAATTGGTTGTGTTTAAGGTAGATTTAAGATGCTGGAGATAGAAAACCTGCAGAAGTATAGAAGTTTGTGACTTCTTTCCAAGGCAAACAATCAGGATAAACAAGTTGGGAAGATTGCATATATACCAGGCCCTACTAAATAAATAAGCAATGATATATTTAGAAACAAACATTGGTTTAAAAGAAAGGCTTCCTTGTGCATTTCTTTCAGGATGAAGATTATATGCAGTCTTTCAGTGATCAGCAAGTAATCGAACAACAGGAATATATAGCTGAAGAAGGGTTAGAAGAGGTTGCTGATACCCAGACACCTCCAAATGAGTCAGAAGAGGTACTTTGGAAAAGTTGAAATATTAAAACATTTAAATATTTCAGATAGAGTTTTCAATTTTGTATTTACCCTTGGCATTGCTTTTATCAATGTTTCTATCGCTAAAGTAGCAATAGAAGAGAAGAGAAACTATTTTATGATCCTATGTTAACTTTTAAGAGAATTATATACCAGGATGGTCAACATTCCTGAATGCTCATTTTCAGGGAAAAACTCAATATATGAAGATGAGTGGTACGCATGCTACTCATATCTCAACTGTTTCTCCTCCACCGTTTCTCATTTCTGGCAGCCCTTACAAATAGCAGTAGAGTTACAGAGCCCACTCCAGTCATTAGCCAACTTTCCATTTACTTTTCTTACCTGAATAACCCTGTCTGTAGTAGTGCTTTTGGGACAGGAAGGAAATGCACACTACTTCCTCTCTTCCTTCCTCTTCTTTGTGAGCAGAAATTCAAAGCCGCTTAGCAATACACCAGAACGGGCTGTGCTGCATTGACGCATCTTCTGCTTGATATCGAATCCTTGATCTTTTTTCACTTTGTCTTTGTGGGAACCAGGTCATCTCTTTCTAGCATTACTTATGTGTAGTCGAACAGTTTCATTCATCTGCTCACAGTGTTGTCATGAATTACCTTTATCCCGTAGACATCGTGGCCTATTTGCTTGCAGGCAGATGTAAAAATACCACCACCACAAATAACGACAGCTCGGTTGAGCTTGGGGGACATTTTAGTAAGCCCGTCTTCTACAGAGTTTCCTGTTGAGAGTTCTCGTTCCCTGTTCAGTTTGATTTCCTTCTCCCCTGCACCAAAGGAGAAACAGTCATAGAAGCTAGCGATGAAGCCTGAAGCCTGGCCAGATGTTTAATATAAGTGCTATACTCCATTCCAAAAGAATTATGATCCTTGACATTTCAAAACTTGCGGATGAACAGTTGTCTTGCTAGAAGATGGAGGCAAGAAATTCAGAGTGACTTAAGGCAGCCGTCCATGAGAAGACCAGTTATTACCTGAGCAATAAGTTTATTTTTCTGTGATGCATTTATTTTCTTTTTCTCTTCTGCAAGAGGCTAGCTGCCACTCTTAGCTTTCACTGTCCATATTTGAGGAAGGGATTATATTTGGATTTAAGGTTTTCCTCATCCTCAGTTTCTTTTGAAGTCAGGAGTGGGAGCTTTAGCTGGATTGTTTGACAGGCAGTTCGTTTTTTTTTCTCTATCACCTTAAAATAAGGGCTCATCACCCAAGTTAGTGTCTTCCTTAGAATCCTAGTCAGTTTACTCAGTATTTAAAGCCTGTGGTTTTATTCTTTTGAGCATGATGAGGCATTTCCTGCAACAGAAAATACAGTACTCAGTAGATTGAAAAAATAGAATTGTGGGATTTGGAAAAAATACCTTAAAGGCACCATAACTAATACATAGGACTGATGTTTTTTCTTGTTCAATCAATCCTAACAGATTAATTTCAGTAATTAAAGAATGTAGCCTATGAGTATTAAGACACTAGCTCATATCATTCAAACAGTTTCTGTTCCAAGTAAGAGAATATTCTAAGGCTTTGATTGCACAGAGGAATTTTGCCAAAGTCTCCCAACTGAAAATGCTATAATTCACCTTCATTCAAATGTTATTTCTACTACTGTACCAAGAATGTTATTAACTGATTTGCTTATTAGTTGTGTTTGGTTATGTTTTATGGGACATTATACAGTTACAAGAAGTGAGCAGTGAGAAAGATTTCCAAACTTATGTTAAGAGTTGTGGCTGTGATCCTAAATATACTTAGTCTTTAATGATTTCCACTGGATTCAGCATTGAATAAACATTGTGAACACAGCAAGGAAGTAGCCATTCAGTATTTATGCAGCATTCTCCTTTATATCTTTTAGTCTGGCAAAATTCTCAAACAGTTCAGACTTCCCCAAGTTACTTTTAAATACTGCAACCTGAGATTCAGCCTCCTGAACTCATAGTAAGAGATACAGCACTCTCCTATCTTGATATAAAACACTGATTTTTAGTATAGGTAGTCCTTGCTTAACAACCACAATTGAGAGTGGAAAATTGGTTGTTAAGTGGAACAGTCATCAAGCGAGTCGCCACATGACTGGACTCAATTTTACGACCATTTTATGATGGTCATTAAGCAGAACACATGGTCATTAAGTGAATCCAGCTTACCCAATGGACTTTTTGGCCAGAATTCGCTTAACGACATGATTCACTTAACGACCATGGTGATTCGCTTAACAACCATTGTAAAAAAGGTAGCAAATTGCGATCACATGAGCGTGGGGGGGTGCAATGGTTTGCGACAGTCAAGTGCGAGTACAGATTGTAAAGCACTTTTTCCAAGGCTGTTGTAAGTTTGAACCATCGTTAAACAATGTATAGAGTTTTGTGGCAGTGATCAAACATATATCTTGGAAGCTCTCCTTCCTTGCCTGTCCTAAAAATACACCATTTCATAAGGCGGTTTAGCCAGTAATTATTGTTACCAGCTGAGTTTAAGCATGTATTAATTCCATAAATTCTTTTCCTATACTGTTTTAGTGGTTTGGGTACAGAAATTCCACATAGTAGAGGTAGTCCCTGGGTTAAGAATGCCCAGTTTAAGGATGACCCATAGTTAAGAAGGGAGCGTAGTGTAGCAAAATTTGAGTTAAATACACAATGGTTCGAGTTAATTACACAATACTACTTATGCAGTATTATATAACAATACTGTTCCAGCTTATATACAAATTCAGTTTAAGGACAGACCTTGGGAACAGAACTCATTCTTAAACTGGAGACTAATGCTATAATTTTGAACAGTGTGTGAATTTTAAGAAAAGATCAGTGGTTTATTATTGCATGGTGAAATTAACATACAAGAGTCATGATTTAGAGACATTTAGATACTATATATAGGCAGCATATATGTTGCTTCATATGAAGGACTTCCCACTAAACTGATTTAAAATTTTCTTTTAATTTGAAAGCCTTATAAGTCTGTAAGGCTGGTATTCTATCCTATCCTCCTCTGTTACAGGCAGTTATTGAAAATCTGGAGTTTCAAGAAGAAACCAAAGAAGAATCAGATGAGGAGGAGGAAGATGATGAAGAGTCTGGTCGGTTACGTTTCAAAACTGAACGGAAAGAAGGAACAATTATTAGGCTATCAGATGTAACAAGGGAGCGAAGAAACATTCCAGAAACTTTGGGTAAGGCTTTTGAGGAATGGTCAGAAAACTAGATTCTTTATTAGCATTAAAACAAATTAACATATTACATGCACAATTTTTTTGAAAATCGCTGAGTAATAATATAAAAATTATAAATAATTGTGTAGGAGGTATGAATTATAAGCAGTGAGGATGAAAAGAAAGTAAAACGTGTGAAGTAAAAGCAGTGATAATTTGCAGTTCAGGGGCACTTTTTTAGTGTTGAACTGTGTATAGATAGTCCTCAGCTTACGTCCATTCGTTCAGTGACTGATATGGTGCTGAAGTTATGGCGGTGCTGAAAAAATGGACTTAGTATTGGTCCTTGAAGTTCCTCCCATCACAGTATCCCCATGGTCATGTGATTGCAATCCGGGCATTCTGTTGCCCGACTTGCATTACAACATTGCGGGGAACTGCGGTCACATGGTTGCCATTTGTGACCTTCCCTGCTGGCTTACCACAAGCAGAGTCAATGGGGAAGCCTGGAGGGCAGGTCACAAGTTGCTCTGGTAAGTTGCTCCTGTTTTTTCTCCTGCCTGCAGCACTATGGAGCCTGCACTGGCCCTCCCTGACTCATACGTGGCACAGCCCCACCCCCCACTCCTTACCTGGGACTCCTCCTTTTTCCCGCTTAATGAGCTGCATGTCTTGGGGTTACAGCAGCAACCAGGACTGCCAGGATTGTCGTTGCTAAGTGATGTGGTCATGTGACACTGCACTTTACAACTGCATTGCTTAGTGATGGCAATTCTGGTCCCAATTGCCATTGAAACCTGAGGACTGTCATTCAGGATAGGAAGTTGTTAAAGGTCTTGTGGCAGTGTTATATACGTAAAATAATATAATCTGGTAAATTTAGATATGCCTTATCCTTCCTAATATGAGAACAAACACGTTACGTTGTCACACAATGTCTGCTCAGCTTGAGAGTCAAATCAGTTTTTCTGGAAGGACTGGCTAATTAAAGATGGTACCTGAAAGAAATCTCAGATTGATGTCATAGCGAGGTGGAATCAGCAGGATTACTAATGAATTATTTAGCATCTCAGTGTGACACCTTGTGAAGCTACACACAAACAGGACTTCTTTTGAAACATTCTGTGTTACAGGATCAATATGAAGATATCTTGTAATTTTCTAACAGAACATGTTGCTGTGAAACTATCTCAGGAGTATATTTCTTCTGTCATATTAGAGACATGGGGCACATCATTGTCTGGTCTGATGTTTCATACAAAAGTAACGTAGCTGTTTCAAGTCTTGTAAATAGAAAGCCTCTTGAAGAAACTCTGCTGTTTTAAAGACTGACTTAGTTCTATGAATTATAGTTTTCTTGTATGTTTCTGTTTCTAAAGTATGCATTAAACAGCAATTGTATTGCATTGTCTTCTGTTTCAGAGATGATGTCTGAGATAAGTTCTCAGCTAATTGAGCTTCGTGAACTTTGTTTCAGTTTAACGAGGAATGTAGAATTTATGGTTTTCTGGGTGTTGTAGAACTGCAACTTGAAGCTTCTTTTAGCAGTGCCGGTTGACGTTGATTGGAATTGAGTTCATTCCTGTTCTAGGCAAAGCAGATTTGAAAGCTGAGTGTGTGGAAATAAATTTATAATTACTATTGTAGGGGAGGTTTGAAGATTGTAGTGCAGTGTTTCTCAACCTTGGCAACTTTAAGATGTGTGGACTTCAACTCCCAGAATTCCCTAGCAGCATGGCTGGCTGAGGAATTCTGGGAGTTGAAGTCCACACATCTTAAAGTTGCCAAGGTTGAGAAACACTGCTGTAGTGCTTTAGGCCCCACCTTGAACTTTCAGGTAACCGTTATGGCTGATACACCTTTCAACAATGTTTTTCCATCTTGTCTATTGCAGGAAGAGAAATTTAGCCACTTGTATACTTTAATGATCTTCTGATGAAATTATTGCAACACCATTTTCATTGGTCTGCTCCCAAAGATGATTCAGAATCTTTAGTTAATATAGAATGTCACATTGACTAAGATAAGCTATATTACAGTGCTTTAAAATATCTGTGTTAATCATTTTTCCAGACATGTTTTAAGATGCTCATGTATTTCTTTGAAGCCTTAAATTGCCTTTTCCTCATTGGTTCTAATGTTTTTAAACATTAGGTGTCTGTCTGTCTACTCTTTTTGAAATGGCCCTGAAACCTGGAATGGTGTTCCTTGGGAATTATTTCACCATTCCTTTGGATGCTAGGTTGCTCTGTGCAAGATACCTTGCTACTTTCCCATTTCAGTTATAACTGACTGGCTAAGTAGAATTTTTTAAAAAACTATGTGTACTTCTCATTTTTAGCTTAATTGAGGACTGTTGTTTATTGTAAATAATAAAAATAATTTGAGATCAATATACAGTATATGGCATACTCTTCACACAGCTATTTGCTTTTGTGTATAAGATCAGTTAAGAACAGTTTAATATGCGGGGTGGGGTAGATGAAGCTGCCAGTTTGAAACATCTTTCATAATCAGTGATATTAGCCTGACATTTTATAAACAACAGTTCACCCGCTGGGCTGAATCATTACAAATTTCTTGGAAACTGAACTACCCATTGCTGGGGATTACAGAGCTCTATCAAGTCAAATACCGTGTGTCAAATGACAAAAGTTGTTGGGCAGTGCTCAGAGTGGCAGGTATGGAAATGGTTTTTAGATATCCAAATCATAAATCTGACTTCTCCAACCTGCCACCCCCATCCCAATGTTCCCTGCATTTCTTATTCCCAGAGTTTATGTTGGTTGGAATTGCTGGAAGTTGTAATTTAGTATATCAGGAGGGCCTCATGGGCAATTTGAAAGCCATTTAGGCCTATTAAAACAAGCACATTGGGTTAAGCCTGGGAAAATAGGTTATAGTGAGGGTGTTTTTATAATGGAACATTTGGAGAGCTGTTCTCTAGAGTTCAGCTGAAGAAATTCAGTCTAAGGCGTTTCTAAGAAACTGCCAGAAAAATTTATTGTGCTTAGCTTTTCCTCTATGGGGAAAAATTCCCTTTTAATTTGTAACCTCTCATCTGAAAAATACAAAGTTAGTAAGCTAGCTGCATGGAACTACCTTAGAAGAATATTTGGAAATACACGTGATTTAATTGATAGCTGTTTCTGTGCTATCATAAATGACAGTATCAAAATGCTGTAGCCAGTAAAAATAGCTCTGATGTCTGATTAGCAGTTCGCAAATATATATTATGCAAGTTTTGCAGTTCCTACTCAAGTTTTTCTGTAAAAAGCCATTGTCAGCTAGAGCTGTTAAGCGATCTGCAGTAATTGTTGTCTATTAGTGAAAAATGTAGTAAAAATGGCGTAATAAATATTACTTTCTTTCAGGACTGATTGCTCTTAATAAGAATTATGGGTATAGAAATGGAATTCCATTGAGTGGTTACAATTTTTACTTTAACATCTAGGCATAAGTTGAGAAAACACTTAAAATAGAAATTAATATTTTAGTTGAAATTCCAAACGTAATTTCCTTTCTGTCACTTTTTGGTGACCTTTCATGACAGGTTGTCTCTATTGGAGGAAAGCATCCTTACTTGCTGATTAAAGATGGCATTTGAAACCATTTTATTACCAAGGGTAGCCAAATTAATTTTGACACTTGGAGGGACTAGAGAAATAATTGCTGATTCACTGCATTAGCTGTGTGTGAAAGAATTCTGCAATAAAGATTGGATATGTGCTGGTAAAAATATGTTAAACATTTTTCCTTATGAATACAGCAGAGGAATGTCTTAAATGCTGCTTTTTCAAATTAAAAGAAAAGTCTTTGGGGCTGAAAGCATTTTAAAGCAGGTAAATGTGAACATGAAATGGATTCTTTAGGGACAACAATTCAAAGAGTCATAAAAGTGAGAGGACAAAAAGGGATAACCTGATTCCCTTTCTTCCAGTGGCTTCTTGTGTTTCATGGAATACTTCTGAAACGAGTCCCGTATTTCAAGATAGTTTTTAGAGCATTTGTGCTCTGAAATCGAGCATCTGAAAAGGCCTGTGTTATGTGTAAAGGACCACACATGGTCTTTTGAATTCCAGACTTTGATTTTGCTTGTGTGCAATTAAAAAAGCTTTTTATTAAAAAAAATACTGTAGAATAAATAATTAAAAATTATTCATTTTTAATACAAAGGCTCCTCATTTTCAGAAAAGGAAATGTTTTGAAAGTGACAACAATTATACCTTTGATGTTCCAGAAAATCTCCCATTATATGTTCCCTTCCAGTGAAACTCCTAATTAGGGGCTCTGCTCTGTGTTTGATCATATATCAGGCAGTAAGATTGGTATTTTACAGTAATGGTTTTAGAGGTAGAATGGCTTCTAGGAGGAAGCTTGATGGAGAACTTTTCTGATACCATTAGGTGGAAGGGAGCGTAGGACTGGTTTTATAGGGACCTATTTTCAAGTTATGAGCTTCCTGAAGTGAAGACAGTCAGAAGTTGGAATAAATATTTGTGCATGAAAGCAAAGAGACTTGCCCTGAACCCATACTCTTCCTTCTCTCGTCATCCCCTCTTCCCTTTCAAGTCTAAATGACACATAATTTTACTATCATTAAAGCAGTAATTATTTTGATGGCACCCATTATGGTGTGATATTCACTAAGGAGGATTCTTCTCCCATCTTTTACTCTGGTTGGTTATTTTTCAGTGGCATCCTACTTTGAAAACTGATATGTAAGACTGAATTGGACAAACTAAATGCATCTGAGTTGTTCTTCCAGTTACATGAAAAATAAAGTTCCATTTTAACAGCAGAGGATATTCCTGACCCCTTTGAGTCCACCTTCCCAGGCCAGATACTCTCTGTGCTCGGAAGCTAGAATTGGGACTGGTTCAGATATGTGCTGGATAAGGAGGGCCAGTAACAACAACATGAACTTACTTGCAAACTCATTCGCTAACTCTCCTTAAAATTGGACATCCTTCTGTGTGAGTTTTAGTCTGAATTAGATATTTTTCAGAATATGTTGTGCCTTGTTTTTCAAGATTGTAGCCAAAAATTATAGCAGGGACAGAATGGATTAACATGGTTCTGAGTGTGCCAGTTAAAATAGGTTTAGAAGCAATGCTCTAATTACTGGATTTAGTCTTACAAATGTAGTGGCATCTTTCCTTTCTCCAAAACGTGAGGACTTCCAAATAAAAAGCCCAGGATAGTCACTACAGTACATAGTTTCCTATTATTAGAGGCATGTTAGGTATCTTTGTGAGAAGGGAGCAAGGAAGAAGCAACAAGTGTTTAGAATGGAATATTGCCCAGACTTTGCTTCAGTGGGCTACCATCAATATCTTTTTGAATCTGCTGCCTTTGATAACTTTTGTGACCCCTTTCCTGGTGATGTTAAGAATACTAGTGAAGGTGTGTGTGTGTTTTTTTTCCAAAGAGCTTTCACAGAAGGATGACATTGATATGACTAGGGAGTTTGTCCTAAAGACAGAAAAGCACCAGATACATGTTTTGATTGTGTCTTACTATATTATATTGTATTATTTTATGTTTTGTTTGTTGTTGCTGTTTTTAATTTAGAGTTGATCCAATTGTAGCAGCATAGGAGTTATAGAGGTAGATAGATATAATAGATAACTAAGTTAATATGATTTTAGAAAATCAGGATGGCTAATCAGAGATATATGACTGGATAAAAATGAAACTAAATATAAGCTATTGGCTATATTTCTTGTGTCCATGAATTAATTACTGAATTTTTGCAAGTTATTACAGGAGAAAGAAAGATTAAAGTAAAACTATTTAAAATAAACTAAATAAACTAAATTTTATTTAAAAAATCAGTAATGAAACTGTTATTGAGAGAATAAAGTATTTTAGCATCACTAGACTGTAAATATGCATTTCCGTTTGCAAGTTAAAAGGATACAGTCAAATTAATTCTTTAAATGTTAATAGATTGTCTTAATGAGTGTGTTTACATGCATGCAGTTGTTGCTCTTGTAGTGAAACTGTTATCAATTCATAACTCTTAATCCTTCTGGCAAATACTAAATTATCTTTTCTTTCATCTAATAGAACTTTCTGCAGAAGCCAAAGCAGCACTACTTGAATTTGAAGAACGGGAAAGACAGCTAAAACAAGGGCGATATGGCTCCCGAAGAGGAGGAAGACGAGGAGGGTCATTAATGTGTCATGGGCTGGGAGGACAAAGAAGAGACAACAATGAAAGGGGAAGAATGAAGGATCACAGGCCTGCTTTGCTGCCAACCCAGACAGCTGTTACGGTACCCTAAATGCAGTAATGGTGGTTGGATTGGGGAATTAAAGTGATGGAAGTCCTGCTTGGGTTTAGCTGCTTAAATGATAATGCTTGATTCAGAGCCTTATTCTGAAGACTCTTAAACTTGGGAGAACTGGGATTTATCATCTCAAGATCTATTTTAGGATTAGTGATGGTCCTACTCTAGATACTTCTTGCAGTTCTTCGAAACATGTACCCTGTAGAGCCAGAAACTGCTTTTGCTCATGTGTGTGTATGGGTATGCTTGAGATGATAGTGTAAAATGACTATATATCTATATCTATATCTATATCTATATCTATATCTATATCTATATCTATCTATCTATATTTCAAGAGAAACATTTTTTCGTGTCTTAATTCCATCATGAGAACAGAGAGATCTTGTTGATAGATGTAGGTTTATAATGCTGAATTGTAATATCCCTATGTGCATAAGATACTACTGCTAAGTCGCGCCCAAGAAACAGTCTTCTGCACATTCTGACCACATGGGTGGTCAACAAGGGTAGGGTGTCTCCACTTTCATTTGCTCATTCCCCAAGAAAAACTGAAGTTTGAAGGCACCATATGAACACGAAGGTACTATCAGCAGCCATGAATTTGCTTAATCCCATATAAGACTTCTCCTCCATTCCTTATGGAGACAATTGTTTAATTTTCCAAGTAATGGAAATATTATTTTCTGTTTTTAATTTCAGACACATTCAGACAGGATATTTCGTCATCAGCAGCCCATTAGGAATCTTTTCCAGCCGCAGCAGCAGCAGCAACAGCCACAGCAGCAGCAGCAACAGCCACAACAGCTGCAGGGTCTGCTCCCCATCCCCACTCAGCATCATACTCCACCCCCTCCCCCTCAAGGAATTCATATGTCATCCCAAGTAGAAACCCCAAGAATACTGATGACTCCTCCTTCAGTGGCATCCCAGCAGCCCAAAAACATACACATAAATCCACACTTCAAAGGAACTGTAGTAACACCTGTTCAAGGTAGGGATCTTTTCAAAGGAAGTCTGGGGTGGGTCTTTTATCCTTACATGGGCATCAGTACAAAATGTAGCGGGAAAAGCCCATTGCTTAGAAGTAAAGCAGGCATTTGGATGTAAACTTTCCTGGTTTTTTAGAATCTCTTTGGAAGTACCACTGAGTAGGAGATAGAAGCCAAGAAAGCTGCTGTTGATCATCATCAACTAGGCTAATCAGTGTAGATCAAAGGTCTTTCTTGGTATAAGTTGGCTTTTGATGTTATCTCTACTTTCATAGCAGAACAGATTTCTATATGGAGTTCGTCAGATTCATCCCCTAGAATTAGATGATGGGAAGGACTTCTCCTGGAAGAACTGTAGAAAATAAATCCATACTGGGCAAAAGATAGAGATTGGGATGTAGAGGGCTGCAGAACTTTATATTGTTTGCTATTGCTCACAGTTTTATTACTTTTTATTATATTGGGCTTTGTACTAGGTTTGTACGTGACTGAGAGCCTCTGGAGTGAGGCAGTTTGTAACTCTTATTTATAAATAAATAAACAAGTAAGGGAGCTGCAGAATAGACTGATAGGATAGGGAGAGATAAGAAGGGGGTATCTTTGTGGAAATGAAATATATATTTCAGGTATATGAATGAAAGAGAAATTCACATAAATTTAAGCCAGGAGTTGTATTTCTATGCCTTATTGAATAAGACAGCTTGTCTTACAAGCCAACAAAGGAATAATGGTTTCTTTAATTCCTGATTTGTTTTCCTAGCATTTTTCTATAGCTGGTTGATAAAAAAAATAAGCCCCATTATTATTTTTTCCCCTGGAAAGAGTTCATAATAACATGCTGAACCCAAAATAAAATTATGTCACAGCCTAGTATAATGGGTAAAGGTTTAAGCAAGGGTATGTTCTTGACACAGAAAGAAATGAGTGCCTAGAGCAATGTTTCTCAACGTTGGCCACTTGAAGACGTGTGGATTTCAACTCCCAGAATTCCCCAGCCAGCATGGCTGGCTAGGGAATTCTGGGAGTTGAAGTCCACATGTCTTCAAGTGGCCAACGTTGAGAAACACTGGCCTATAGTTTTGTGTAGTGAGTTCAGGGATATGATTCTTAAATTATAATCAGAACTTTATGTAGCACAAGTTTACTATACCTTAAGGTCTCTTGCCAGAGTAATTCTGGTGCAGAAATTTCCATTAAGTCAGTGCGCTTTTGTAATGATGAGCAGCAGTAAAAGCAGGATATATATATTGAGAGCTTACTTGCAGAGCAGCTACTAATTCAGCACAGACTCCTTCCCACATGTTTTTCTTCGGTTTATATACTTCCTTTTTCCATTTGCAAAAAGTTAAATCATTTGATTGCCTTATCTTAGGAGGTGCAATACAGTGTGAATGACAAGCTGATATAGAACAAGTTTACTCAGGAATATGTGCAACTGAGCTTAGCTAGTTGTATTTCCTAGTAAACGTATATAGTACTATAGCGCATAATTGAATTAACGCAAATTCACCAATGGAATCGGTGTTGCCTCTGGAATTTTGGGAAATCATGGTATGCCTCCGATGCAGTGCTGTCAAGTTTTTGTCCCCCCTTCAGTCATGTGTGGTACTTATGAAAACAAATATTTCAAATTGCCTGTGCCTTGTTTAATTTTGTAGCCTATGCCATCAGCATCCTAATTGCCCTGTTGCATGGTGTTAACACATTTTGCCTGCCTGCAGCTGTTGGGGAGAATGGGGAGGCAGCTGCCTGTGAATGTGGCTGCATATGAAAATGGCCTGGAGTCTTGGCTAAAACAAATTGATTTAAAAGGTGTGCTCCTTGTTTTTAGTGCCCTTGCTGCCAGTCCCAACCCAGCCAAGACCTGCTGTAGGACCCCAGAGATTTCCTGTGAGTAGCAGCTGTTTCTTCTTCTCTGATATGGATAAGCATACATTTGTAAAGAAATATTAATATGGCAAATAAAAGTGGTGCCAGTGAAATATAATTTTAAGGATTTGCAAATATTGACAGTGATCCGTGAGCTAGAAAATTGTTTGTTAAAAGCTTAAAGGTCAATGAATTTTTCGGAGCTGAATTAATTTTGTTTTAATTGTAAAAACTTCCAGTGGGGAGTTTAAAAAAAAAAAAAAAGCACACACTCGCTCAGTTTAAAATAATAAGTACTCCTCCATTCATTAGAGCCCTTTCAGAATAAATAGAATTGCTTTTCTTCAATAAAAGGGCATTAAATACGACAGGTTTAAAATACAAATTGCATATTTCTAATGTCAGTGTGAAGATTATTATTTTTTTTGTTTTGTTTTGTTTTGTTTTGTAGTGACTTTAATACCAGAAGCTGATTTGATACTGGCTTGCTCTGCCACCTCTGTCTTTTTTCCTCCTGAACAGAGTCACCAGTTCTTTCTCTTAGCTAATCTACATTTGGTTGACTTGCCATTGGAATGTCACTGAATGTTCCCACTTCTCTTCCCCTTCATATTTTTGTAGTACGTGAATTTCCCAGTTTTTCCCCCCCCCCAGTTTTGTGTTCCTTCAGTGTCTTCATACTGTGCATCAAGACACATTGTAGAAATATTCAGAGTAATGTTGCCTTCATTCACCAGACTGGAAATACATCATGTTTTTTAGCACCTTTTCAGCATGTATAAAGCTAAAAAATAATTCACATATTAGATTAACACTCAGAAATTGGGAAATATTTTTCAGAAATATAGGAATGTATTTCCATGGTATTATAATCAAAAGGTTAATATATTTTATTGCTGCTTTTACTGGACACTACTTTGACTTCCCTTTTTTAATAACAAAAATATTAAACCAATGTACATGTGATGAGGTGATTTTTGTTTTAAATACCTGCAATCATCTTTTTGGTAGTTTGTGTATTATTTTGCAGGAGTAAGAAGAATTCTGGTGCATGTGGGAACAAGCAATGTGGTGGTGTATGTTGCTTAATTGCTCTTTGTAGGTTCTCTACCAGAGGGATGGTGGATGGTGCTCTCCGTGATTCTCTTGGCACCTGTGACCTGGGAAATGACTTGTCAGGAGAAATCAAGTCCACCTTCCCAGTTCATACAGAGTGCTAAATGAAACTCAGGTGGAGCCTGATGGTGATATTATTTATGCAGTGTGGAAAGCGCAAGCAGTTGGCACATTTATGAGTTATCTTATAATTGGTAAATTCTGATAGAATTAATCATTTGGATTGTGAATGTTATAATTATTACATGCTGGTCATTTTTTTTCTAGAAAACATGCACATTTAAGATACATGTCCTGGAAAAAAAATGCTTTTTAAAAGAACGTAATGTATTTATCATAAGTAGAGGCATTTGACACTGCCCATATAATTCATTAATTATCCTGAGGATGAGGCATGACCAACCCACATCTTTAGCTGCTACTTTGTTTTCTAGGCATGAATCCAGTGAATATTGACAGTGAGCTTGAATAATATTGTAGGTATCACCAAACATGGGTATAAATTCAGAGCACATATAAGTTTTAATGGCATGGTGCTGTCAGGGTGTTTGTACAGAAGAATGAACATGTCTTCTGAATAATTCCCTCAAAGGCCAGGTAGTAGATTTTATAAAACAATAAAACTTGTATGAAATGAACATTATTGCAAGTGAGACTTAAGAATGAGTTTTTAACCATATTTTCATTAATATTTAGTACAGCCACTGCTGCTTGGGATAGCACTGGTCCATAGAAAGCCAGCTTGTTCCTAGAAATTGGAGATATAGAAAGAAAATACAGGTAGTCCTCGACTTATGACCAAAGTTATGATGGCATTGAAAGAAGTGACTTACGATTTGTCCTCACGCTTACAATCTTGGCAGAGTCTCTGCAGTCACATGATCAAAATTTAGATGCTTGGCATCCGGCATGTATTTACGATGGTTGTAGTGATCTGGGGTCATGTGATCGCCATTTGCAACCTTCCCAGGGGGCTTCTGACAAGCAAAGTCAATTAACCGTGTGATTCACTTGACCATGGCAAAAAAGGTCATAAAATCAGGTGCCACTCATTTAACAACCACATCACTTAATGATGGAAATTCTGGTCTCAGTTGTGGTTGTAAGTTGAGGACTACGTGTAGGATCATCACTAAACCTGACCTTGGGAAAAGAGGGCTGTTCTTGATCTTCTTCAGCTTAATCATGGGTGGATATAATTGTAACAGGCAGATTTTGATATTTGAAAGTGAGTCACGACAGGTCTTTTCCTTTCAAACCTTGTTTTGATACTTCAGTTTGTTAACTAACTTTGGGAAGAATAAACCACAGTTCCTTGAATCCATCGGTAATGAGGGTTTCACTTTATAGTGTTCCCTCCTTCCCTTCCATGTATAAAGTGAAGGAAAGGTAGAGGAACCAAACAAGCCAGAGGTTTGCTGGATCATTTCCAAACATCGGGGAGGGGTTTACACAGTTTAAATTATTTATTTGTTTTACAGGCCACTCCAGTCAGAACCGACACTGAGTAGGGTACAACTCCCACTGCCTAAAGTCAGCATAAATGACAATCTGAAAAGGGTCTATAGCATGGAAAATAGTAGTGGAATTGTCTTCTGCGGGTATAGTTAACTAAATTTGAATTAGTTTGCTCCATGAGCACAAATCTATTTGTTGTCAGCTGAAGAAGATATGTTTGCTGATTTATGCAGACATGATGATAAGTGGCATTCTTCTCTCCTCAGTTCAGGTGGCAGACAACAAGGGATCTCAGTTCTTCTGTTAGTTATCAGAATGGGGAGTTTTCGTTGTGGTCAAAGAGTCATTTTCATGTACTAGGAAAGCTAAATAATTTGGCCCAATTTAGTATTCCAGTCCTGGCTCCAAATACATATTTTTCTGAGATACAGAAACATGTATGAAGATTTTACCCACTAAAACATAATGTGTAGGCCATTTATAGCCATTGGGAATGCGTATTAAAAGTGCCCTGTCAGCAGTTTCACCATTGGATAAAAGATAGCTGTCTACATGCTTGTATTGCTATTTGTTTAAATGTTAGACATCAAATGCAGAGAGGGGGAAAAAAAGTCTAGCCTGCTGCATGGCTGCCATAGCAATTGTGTTTTTTTTATGGCGGTGCTGTTAGAACAGCAGCAGTAAATGAAATTTTCACTCTATTACTGTGCAGCAGCGGTGGCAAATTCCAGATAGTCTGGAAAGCATTTTCTTTTCTTTTTAACATGATACAAGGTATCAGGTGGTCATGATTGACATTTCTTGGATAGAGCTTTATACAGCATTTCATGCAAATCATGTTCGAATGAGAATGCTGAATCAAATTACATTTTTTCTCCCATTACAGCCCCTGCAGATGTGCAACTGAGCTTTCCTCAGCATCACTTGGCAAGTTTTCTTTACGAGGACCAGCCATTTTCACAACTTATCTCCATAGTCCTATTATTAATGCCTTTACAATAGAGCAATGAGTGTTTTCTCTTGTCAGATCTGTACAGTACCCACAAGATCAACTGCAGGGGCTCCACCCCCTCCCCATACAGTGTCAGATAGTGTCAGGCTGGGAGAAAGGAAAGGCAATTTACAGTGCAGGTGATGTGATAACAAACATCTTCCATTTGCTAGTGAGCTTCTGATTAATCACTATTTCCATACATTATCACACTATCAAATTTAATCATATCAATGAATTCCCATCTGCAGGAGCAGCAGCAGAAGCTAAACATGATGATAACACTTATTAAGCCCGGGAGGGGGGCAGGATCTAAAATGAACTAGCCCTTTCCTTTTTTGTCCTTTCTGTTCCTAAATGGTCAAATCAAGCTGAAGTTGTGGTTGCCCACTCTTTGATCTGACTTGCTCATTCACAGACAATAACCATTTTTGAAATATTCAGAAAAATAGCCATTTTTAAAATACACAGATCCCCAAACATTGAAATATAAGATATCTGCTTTAAAAATTCATGTGGGTATTAGTAGAGTTGAGTATGGTATGACTTCCCTACTTTGTAGGATCTCTGAAGTAGCAGAATGTTTTGTTCGGAACCTTTAATCTGCAGAACAAGGGCTTTCTGGCCATAGGGAAGTGGCAGAATGAGCTCCAGTATATATGGTTTGGTCTAGAAAAGGGGACCAGCATAGGTGTCACAGAAGTAGACAGATCTTATACTTAAGGTCAGTGATCTGTGAATAAATTATAATCAAAGAGCATCATTTGTCAATTTTTTTAAAAAAAGAAAACATTAATGGAAGATCAGTGTCAATGGTATTTGCCATTATTGCTGATTATTTATTTATTAGATTTCTATGCTGTCAAATCTTAAAATTTATGACAATTTTCAACTGTGAACATACACAGAAATACAAATCATTACATAATAAAAATGAGAGTAAATAAGAATACAGCAATCAATTAAGCAAGAACAGATATTAAGTGTGATTAGCTTTTAGCACCCTATGAAATTGCTCAATTTTAACTGCTTAAACATTGTCAAAGTTAGCACTAGTCTAACCTTGGAGAAACTGTTCATAAGCTGGAGATCATAACAGAAATACACTGCCTCTGAGTCCCACCAATCATGCTTATGCACTGGAGATAGATACAGGTAGTCCTCTACTTATGACCATTCATTTAACAACCAGTTGAAATTACAATGGTGCTGAAACAAGTGACTTACGACTGGTACTTGCACTTAACAACTGTTGCAGTATCCCCACGGTCACATCAAAATTTGGGGGCTTGGCAACTGGCATGTATTTACAATGGTTGCAGCGTCCTGCGGTCATGTGATCGCCATTTGCGATCTTTCCGGGGGGGCTTTCGACAAGCAAAGTCAATGGGGGAAGCCGGATTCACTTAACAATTGCAGCAAAAAGGTTGCAAAATCAGGTGCAATTTACTTAATG